ATCTGTGGATACAACTCTGATAACCAACAGTGTAACAAACATTTGTATATATGTTTGATTTGTTTTAATCTGTTATTTTGAAATGAGTGGACTGTGCTCTGTTTGTTTATTGTTGAAATTTATCTTCAACAAGTCATGAACACCTACTTTAAAGAACTTGGCTTATACTAAAAGCTAACACTAGGTATTTTTGTGTTCTGGGCAAGTTTGAAAAATTGCTCCCCCACTCACTTTATGCAATCATATAGCAAAAACAATCATGTGTATAATAATGCATGATAATAAAAATATCTGGGACATTTTTCCTAAATATATTATTATATGTAGTTCTGAAATATCTGTTAAAATAGCTGGAGCTTTGTGTCCTCTTCTAGAATGTCTGTTTGTACCTTCCTAATTATGCTACTGGAAATAATTAAGTAGCCAGTGAGCCAACTTATTTTTGTGCATTGTTTGAAAAGAATAAAGATATAAATAATATTCAATAAAGATCTGTCATCAGAATATTTTGCAGTCACCTACCATACTCACTGAATAATAAAGTTATCTTTATTAATGACGATTATATTTAGTGAATGTAAAAACAAAAAGAAACTTTTTGATCAACATTGTTATTCATTTAACCCTATTGCTACGGGTATCCTTTATTGCACATGACACAAAGTTTTATTGTTTTACATTCAAAATTTTATTGAACTACTTTTGTTTATGTTATACTAATTAGAATAGCATAAAATCTAAACTAATAATCCATATTTTAATAGTATATTAAGTTTTAAGTTCTTAATTTTTCAAGGCAATATTTAAAAAAATCTTGATTTTTCCCCTGTGTGATCCACATGACACATTTTCTCTTAGCATGTCATCTTCTTCATTTTATCCACCACCCCTCAAAAAAGTACAAAATTAAACGTAAATTGCTTTGTATGATATTGTCATTGCTCAAACAAACCATAATTTTTATAGTCTTCAATTTTGTTTGGTTACAGAGCTAACGATTAAAAAATCAGACCCCTCATGCCATGCCTACCTGTCACATCCTCTCTTTCAGAATTTGCTAATAGTTCTCTCTCTTACATTTCATTACATATTACCTATAACCAATAGAAAGTCAAGATTTTCATCTATCACGTGACGAATTGTATAATGTTATGTTCTGAATGCTTAAATGTCAATTTCACTCAGAGTACCAACATTGTTCCCATGAGAAAGTTAATGACTAACTTGGATGAATTTGTAATGACTCTTGTCACATAGTTAGAAAGCCAGAAAATTTTTGAGAGGTAGGGTATTTGTCTACTTTTTGCATGTTATTAGTCTATATTCTTTGGTGCATTATTTAATTAAATAAAAACTAAGTGTATTTACTATCATTAGTATAAAAAAATTAGGGTTAACTCTCTTCGAGAAATGACAGCAAGAAAACATAATTGGTTATGTATTTTATTTCTTGTTTTTCAAGGTAAAAATAAATAATACTAATATTATAATAAACATCTTTCACGAGGCACTCATGCAAACAGCTCGTAGTAACTTGTGGGTAATGTAATTTGTTAGCGTAACGTGAGCAGTGTTATTCACAACTCTTTATGGTGTGATAGTAGTTGGACACAGTTCAAAGGGCAATAAAACAATAAAATTTAATTATAAATAGATGTATACTGTCACGAACTTAGAGCTACTTAGGATAAACAAATGTAGTTTCATGTTACAATTTGTAGTCATTCTAGAAAGAAAAAGGATAGTTTAGATTTATTTCAATTTTTTGTTTTGGTGGTTATGAGGTCAAATGATTTGGCCGATTCCATTTTGAGATAAGGCAGAGAAAATAAAAGATAAACTATAAAGTTTTGCTGAAAAAAAAATGTTTGAAATGAATTTAGGAGGTTTTAGGGATTACACAAAAGAAACTTGAGATTTTTTGGGGATGAGGAAAAGTATTTGTAATTCTAACATGAAAATTACTTTTTACACGGAATATTCAAAACAATTACTCACTATTTACGTGGACAAATATTTTATTTTATTAAAAGTGCTTCACTAAAAAATTATTTTTTGTATGTGAAAGACAATATTAACTGAAAGACTGCCAAAGTTTGTGAAGATATACATACTATACTGAAAGTTAGAAGTATTAAATCTATAAAGACTTTAAACAAGTTCAAAGAGGTCATGTGATCAGTCAGATTGACTGAGCCCGTATTGAGAGAGTTAAACCATAGTCTATCAATTAAAAAGTAAAAATACCATATTTAAACAAAGGCCCAAACATGAATAAGATATCTTAAGCCTTAAGCAATCTCCCTTCTTTGACTTCTTTGTATCATACTGAATCTTTTGTCTAACTAGCTACTACTTTTATTTGGTGATGTATGTTTGTTACTGTTTAATTTGTAGTAAAGTTTTTTTTGTTACCCAAGCAATGTCAGTAATTATAGTTTAATCACTTTTAATTGGAATTACTTTTTGACACATTGCCAACATAATCTTTTGCTGCATAGAGACAACAGATTGATATGGAGCTTGCCATAAATAAACCAGGTTCTAGTTTGGTATATTTTGATATGAATAGAGATCAAAAACTAAAGAGTGCTGTATGATCTGAAGAGCTTAGTTACAGGGTTAGTATGGAATGAGGTTAAACCATATCAAAATGATGCATCTTGATCCTAGTGTGGTGGATGGGAGCCCAAACAAACAATTATGCAAACGTATGCATGTTACTTCTCTATTTCTATATATTTCTAGAATTTAAAGAAATATGCTGCATTTTGTATATAAATAAAAAACTATTTGTACAAGAAAGCAAATTATATAGCACTCATTCATTGTTTGTTTTTTTGTCCATTTTAAACTGATATAATGTTTAAACCTTTAAAAACTTGTTTTTTTAAGTTTAAATGTGTAATACACTAAAAGAAATCTAGAATCCTTCGTATACAACAATGTTGGGGCCTTAAGTGTCTATAGCTACAGTTATTCAAAAGCTTTGTAACCAGTCATGGGGAAATGAATAATCATAACTGATTTTATTTATTAGGCAAACAAGTATTCAGTCAAAGTAAAAAAAAAAAAACAATAACCTAGTACATTTTGATATTCTTCAAGTAGCCTATATTTAAAGTCAACATAAAAATTACAATAATGTTCATTTATTTTGTAAAATAAAACCACTTTTGGTAGTTATAACTTTTGGGAATGAATAACAATGAAACTAGAAAGGTTTCAGATAAGAGTATTATCGTGTTAATAAATAATAAGATTTTAACTTTTCACACTAGCTGCAGTAACATTTCATTTTTACAGTTATGATATATAACTTCTTAACAGATTTGTATAACACTGTTACCAAATTTTCTGTATTCTTTACATGAAAGAAGAGACTTCCACTGCAATAATAGTGTTTTAGGTTAATCATTATTGACCATATAGTCCTAAAGTAGCTTAAACAAGTCAAACAGAATTAAAATAACATTAATATATTTTATAATGGATTAGCTTATTCAGGTTATAATCCAAGCATTTCAAAGCTTTTATCTTTATTCATAGTAATGTGATTGATGTGAAAATAAAAATAGTTATAATTATTTATGATCATATTTATAAAGAAAATTAAAGAATTGGTGAACAGCTTGCTTGCTTTAACAAATTTTGTCAAAACTTGTTATGTTTATAGTCATACCACTTGCATTTTCTCATGAGAATTCTAACTTCTAAATGGTGAAATATCAATTATATAAAATGGCGGTGTTATAAGAGCTGTAGATGTCCTAAACTTATGAAAACAAATCTCTAAGACACATTATTAGTGTGTCTATAAAAAGGTGAGGCATGAATAGTTACCACAGCAACATTTAATTTATGTTCATATTGCTGTATTAGTTTAGACATAATTAGTTTATGGCTGAGACCTAAACTGCATTGCTGTAGACTGTTGTGTTTACTTGAGAAAACCTCTAAAAACTTAAAAGTAATTAATAGCCCAATCAAATACAAACACTGACATTTAATGTTTCTTTTTGATACTATATGGTGATGTAAGGATATTTGGCTGAAAAAAAAAATGGAAGATGCTCAAACTCCTTTACAACTGTATCTGCTTATACAATATTAAAGAATGCAATTATGAATTAGAAATATAACACAATTTAAAAAAAAAGTTAGTATAACAGTTGTATAACACTCTTACCAAACTTTCAGTATTTTTATATGAAAGTAGAGAATTCCACTGTAATAATAATAATAATATTGTATTTTAGATTAATCATTACTGACCATATAGTTCTAAAGTAGCCTAAATAAGTCAATTAACATTTTTTAATTCAAATTATTCATTTGATAAAATTGAACCCACTTTGAGACAATAAAGTTTGAAGATAGTCTGAATGGGTAACAAAGAAAAAATTTATTACAAGTGTAACACATTAACAGATGTACAACGTTTTTGACAAGGTTTTGTCATCATCGGGTACCTTTGCACGCTGATTTCTCAAAGCCCTTTCCCTTGGCTGTGGTTTGGCAGTGGGTGCTGCCAGCCAGTTGCCTTCCTTGTCAGTAGTTAAAAATTAGTTAGTGGCAAATAACTTTAGTAGCTGTTCAATGACAGGGCAAGGCCCCCCAGTGGCACAGTGGTATGTCTGCTGACTTACAACGCTAAAATTCAGGTTTCAATACCTGTGGTGAGCAGAGCACAGATAGCCCTTTGTGTAGCTTTGTGCTACAGACAGACAGGGCAAGTATGTTTAGTAGCAATGGAAATCGAACTGAGACCCCCCCCCCCCCCATATTATGTAGCTTTGAGTTTAACAACAAAAAAACATAATGGTAGTATTTCAATTACTTGGATAGTTGGAATAAAATAGTAAATAACCAGAAACATTAATTTTGATTAGTTGATGATTTTTATGACAATCAATTTATTTAGTAAATTTCATAAAAATGTGTTTAGGCTAACTGAATGTAATGTTAAATCTCCTCAAACTTTTCTATCACTTTTGTAGATCTGTGAGGCAGGCAATGAAAAGTAAGGGCAGAGTTTCTGTATCAGGTAAGATTTTAAATCTGAGCAACTTGTAATAAAGAATAACGAAATATTAAGTTTTAAAGAAATGAATGAAAATTAATTACAAATGCAAAAATTTATTTGCATTTAAGTGCTGCAATAATTACAAAATTAACATCTCTGCAATAGTATCATTAAGTAATCGATAAAAATATCTGTAGGTTTAAATTGGTAAACCTTGAAGTGCATAATTTGGGCTATACATTTTCATATTATATTTTGTTCAATATCATTTTTAAAAGATTAATGGCTAAAGAAATGACTATGGTTATGTTGAAGCTTGTAAAATAAAGCATTAAGTGAGGACTAATGATATTTATTCAGTAGATGTGTGCATTGCACCACTACCTAATTGTTTCCACTTCCTGCTTTGAGTAAACATGCAAACCTTAAGACCATTTCTGATTATTACTGAAATATTAAATGCTGTCATATTTTTTAATGTAAGTGGTATATTTAAAAATACTAATGATTTATATTTCACATTTGCAATAAAAAAGTAAGGGATGTCTCCTTCCAAACAGTTTAGTATAGAAATCCAGTTAATTAATAAAAGATTGATAAATAAGATCATCAGAGCAAAAGTTGATTGAAACTTTAATTTTCATAAGAGTGTAATGAAATGTGACTTTTAAAAATTTCACTTTGTTCATAGTTCTTGTATCTTCAAAGTATATATATTGATTTGATATTGGTGTATAGATTGAAATTTGAACCTAAATATGATGTAGCTTTCATCAAGCTTTGTTGAATTAAATTTGATGACAAGTAATCTGTTTTGAGACAATAAAATTAGAAGACAGTTTAAATGGGTAATGAAGAAAAATTTATTACAAGTTTAACATATTAACAAATGTATAATGTTTTCGACAAGGTTTTGTCATCGTCAGTTACCTTTGCACCACAAAGAGCTGTTACCTCAGTGCACTACCGTGTAAATCCTGCACATGCCACAAGCCTTGAACAAAGCTCCCACCCTTACACATGTCAATGTGTATTGTTCCAATCTATGATGTAATCATCATTAGACTATAGCATTCAACCAACAGCATGGTGACACATCCTCCATGTGCAGTAATCCCCATGAGCATTAGCATTTGAACATAGGTTCATGATTTCTTTAGCACCACTTGTCTTTAGACATGTTTTTTGCATAAGATTTACCTGAATTTTTGCACTTATTAATCTAACTTTTGTAACTTCATCATGCAGTCTTTCTTTCCTTAATTTTCTTGATTATATGAAAAAATGACATTAAATTTTAAACTTATCACTTGAACTTATATTTGATTTATCTTCAGTTTGATTTTCTTTTCATTGTCTGTACTTTTGGGACACACCATTGTCTGTTCCAATTGTTTAATCCAAAATAAAGGTTTTGTTCGGTACTCTTTAAGATCATCATTAAGCTTATATACCATCATCATCATACCTGGTTCATTTTATTTCTAAGCAATAAAAAAAGATAAAAAGTAACAATAAAAAAAATAAAGGATTTTATTTTGAGGGGATAACTTTTGATATGAAGAAAAGCTTTTCAGTGCCATTTTAGACATACTTGTAAAAAATCTTAAAGAATGCAACTAGAAAATATTTGTAGACATACTGTACTTTTGGCACTCATATGTCTTCATCATGAACAACATATGAGTGAGTGTTGGAGAATCACATTGTTGGAGAGAGGGTTTTTATTTCTTATGCCTGATGGTAACAAGTAAACTTGTTGAAATGTTGTAAGTTGTCTTTGTCTTGTTTTCTCATACTTTGTGTCTGACAATGACAAGTAGACTTGTTGAAATGTCTTAATTTGTTTTTTACTTGTTTTCTTCTTCCTGTATAGTTGTTTTAAAACTTTATTTATTTATCTTACTATTGGATTCCTCATTTTTATACATTACACCAAACCTTTGTTTACAAAAAAGTCTGTAATATTACCATATTGCAGACAGCTTGTTATCTGTGTGACTATTATTTGGTTGTGGAGAGTCAAGCACAAGACTGTCAAAGCAAGAGAACTATGGAAGTACCAACTCTTATATACAGGTTAAAGCCTTAGTAAGGTATCTCACAAGTCCATGGTTACATATTTCAATCAATGCTTTACATACATTTCTAAGCTATCCCAAGACATTTGTTTAGGTTTCTCCAGTACTTGTTTGAATAGGCTGATTTCTAGAAGTCCATAAAAAATGCATACTTTTAGTTTAAGACTTAAGAACATTGTTATGCAACCATTACCTGTGTAAAAGGATTAGCACATGTTTACAACATTGAAATATTTGGTCAACATGGATTGGATTAACCACATGCAGAACTGCATGGTAATGTAAGAAAAATTACATAAATATACCGGAATAAAGAAATATTCTAAAGAACTTAGATAATGGTGGAATTATAAATTGTTCCAGCTATGGCAATCTCCCAATTCCTTTTACCAAGTGTTCCTAGACCCAAATATTAGAATTAAACATTAACTGATCAATAAGAAACATAACTAAAGATAATGATATGTTGTAATTAGTTTCTTATTGTGACACACAATATGGCAAACCACCTACAAAACAACAACAGTAGGATTTTTACATATAACTTCCAGTAAATAAAAATAAACCTCAAAATGATCAAACACATCAAACTCAGAATTAACTGAAATCATAATGTAACTCCAAATAAAGTGAATACAGCTGTTATTATAGGAATCGCATCAAAAATCAAAGTAATAATATAATGAAATTACAATAACTGGCAGTTACAATCTTAAGAACAAAATTAAAACATACAGAAATCAAAGTTTAAAACACCATGATTAAATAGACTACAAATTATAAAAGTGAAAAAATATTCAAAAATTTAATCTGAAGTTATTACAACTGAAAATTGACAATATAATAAGTAAAAGAAAATACAAATAAACTAAATACAAAATAGTAATGGAACACAGGATACTTCACATTAAAAATATATGCAATATTTACTAACAATGACCTTGCAGCTTATAGGGGCTGTTTAGGTGTTATCTCTGGATGTGGTAGTCATTGGCTAGGTTCCATATTCTGGGAGTCAGACCCTGGCTTTTCTGTCACACATGGTGACCACAGTAGCGTACAAAGGACCATCAAAAGTTTGCATGGCAGATACTTGAACTTGTGCTGTTGTCTGCCTCCCAAGAAATTAACGTTTCCAGTGATGTGCATTTCTGATGCATAGAACAGAACTATGTTGGGTGGATTAACATTGTCTTCTCTTAAGTGCAGTAGATTGTCAGGCAGTCCACAAGACAGAATTGCAAATTTCCAGTTTGCTCAACCTATGAGGTAAAGATGTCACACCTCAAATCCTTTCTTGGAAAATGTCATTTGAATATGTATATAGTGCATGTTCTGTGTCTTACATTATTCATGGTGAATGAATTTGTCACTGTAATATCTGAACATGTTTGTTTCATGCTCTTGTGAATGTGCAATCCATATAGCTTCTTACAGAACAACATAAGTGCAGCTACCTTAGCCACACCCCTGACCATGCTATGTTACATGATAGTTCTTCCATCATTGTCTGGTTATTATAGAGACAAAGCCTGGGCCTGAGGGGGAAGAGAATGTAAGACAACAAGAAGGTACTTTACAACTGAAATTGGGGCAACTAATTTACAAGCAGTGACCAATACTTTTGATCTTGAAGGCTGTGTAACTTGTCTGTGCACAATAGTAACCTGCTCTCTTGTACAAGTTAAACATAAATACAGAAATGAATCCATGTCTAGCTTCACAAATAAATCTAGAATTACATTCATGTTGTCCACATAAAAATTGTCATAATGTCACAATTAAATGAAGTTTGCACAAAGTTTGTGAATTATGGCTAACTTCCTCAAAAATAATGTTAAGAAAAACATTCAATGATGAAGTCCGAAAATATCCTTCCTTTACATAAAGAACACATACTTCATTCTGTGTTCTTATTTCAGTATAGTTGAAACCAATTGCAATGGTCTTGCAGATAAACACACTGATTGTGCATTTTCCCTAGAAATGTGAAACTTTGCAGACTTGTACAACTTCCTGTGTTAAGACTTGCTAATATAGTGACAATTGATCAGTACCACTAGTGGCCTATATTGTAACTTGATGGCTGACCGAATGAGTAATATACCAGTTTAATTGTTTTTGAACAGTTTCATTAATAATTGCTCAGTTAAGGCTCAAAATGGCTAGAAATGTCAATGTGAATGTAGAGTATATCATACAGCAATCAGTAAAATAACAGCTGTTCAGCTTTGAAATGGCTTGCAAATCAATAACAAGAATGAATGAAAATCATTGCATAATATCTCTTTCATGTACATTTTGGCCTCTAGATTCCTAGATTATAATTCTAAGTACTTGTAAAGAACTGTGAAACTGCTTTAATACCTATCATTTTATTCCATATATGATTATTTCAAAAGGATCTACATTGATATTTTGTCAAACTTTACCCAACCTCTTTTTTTGATCAAAATTCATAGAATGCCACAAAAATGGAACAAAACATGCAAAAATCAATTTATCTGATCAAATGAGAGCTTTAGAAAATGATACATTTATTATTGTAATGTTAAGAGGTCATATTTATACGTCTTTTCACTTATAAGAGAAAAACATGAATTAATTTTACATATTAAGAAATGTTAATATGGTCCTTCATTCAAATCATGTGTCTGTCACTATGTACTGCATTGCAGTCCTTACAATATCCTTTACTTTTCACGGTCATTTCTTTTTAGTCAATGATACACTGCCCATCATATGCATAGAGGAAGTGCATTGAAGCCCTGCTTTTGCACAGCTGTACTAGTTGGAAAATCTTTTTTTCTGCTGCTACTGGTAATGTCCAGAAAGGATGGTAAATGCTACTCTCAAGTTTCTAGCCCCAGCAAGCAGGGTCAGGAAGTATCAGCTCAGCAAGTGTTGTACTAGTGCCTCTTGGGTAGGAGGAAACCCAAC